GAGGACCGACGTCTTCTCAAGGAGAGCCCACCCTTCCCCTCTTCTTCCTGTTTCCACCTTTTATTGCTGAGTGTGACATCACATGGTATGGAATATCCCTTTGATTGGTTTAGGTCAGCTGCCCTAGTGATGTTTCTCTCCTCACTTTTTGCCCACCCCCTAGGAGGGTTAGAGAAAGGCCCGATGCTGTGCCACTGCTGCTCAGCAGTAGACACAACACTGGTGTGATAACACTGCTGTTCCAGCTACAAGTACAGAGTACAGCACTGTATGGGCTGCTGCCGGGAAAGATAACATTCCAGCCAGGCCCAGGGAAGCGCCACAATTCTGTGCCACAATTCACAGTGTCACAGAATCACAGAATTTCTAGGTTGGAAGAGACCTCAAGATCATCAAGTCCAACCTCTGACCTATCGCTAACAGTCCCCACTAAACCATATCCCTAAGCTCTATACCTAAACGTCTTTTAAAGACTTCCAGGGATGGTGACTCCACCACTTCCGCGGGCAGCCTGTTCCAGTGTCTAACAACCCTTTCGGTAAAGAAGTTCTTCCTAACATCCAGCCTAAACCTCCCCGGGCGCAACTTAATCCCATTCCCCCTGGTACTGTCACCAGGCACGTGGGAGAACAGACCAACCCCCACCTTGCTACAGCCTCCTTTAAGGTATCTGTAGAGATCAATAAGGTCGCCCCTGAGCCTCCTTTTCTCCAGGCTGAAGAAGCCCAGCTCCCTCAGCCGCTCCTCGTAGGACTTGTTCTCCAGGCCCCTCACCAGCTTCGTCGCCCTTCTCTGGACCCGCTCAAACACCTCAATGTCCTTCTTATAGCGAGGGGCCCAAAACTGAACACAGTACTCGAGGCGCGGCCTCACCAGAGCCGAGTACAGGGGGACGATCACCTTCCTAGCCCTGCTGGTCACACTGTTTCTGATACAAGCCAGGATGCTGTTGGCCTTCTTGGCCACCTGAGCACACTGCTGGCTCATATTCAGACGACTGTCCACCATCACTCCCAGATCCTTCTCTGCCTGGCAGCTCTCCAACCACTCGTCTCCCAGCCTGTAGCTCTGCTTGGGGTTATTGCGCCCCAGGTGCAGGACCCGGCACTTGGCCTTGTTGAACTTCATGCATTTGACCTCAGCCCATCGGTGCAGCCTATCCAGATCCTCCTGCAGAGCCTTCCTACCCTCGAGCAGATTGACACATGCGCATAGCTTGGTGTCATCTGCAAACTTACTGAGGGTGCACTCAGTGCCCTCGTCCAGATCATTGATGAAGATATTAAAGAGGACCGGCCCCAGTACCGAGCCCTGGGGGACGCCACTAGTGACTGGCCTCCAACTGGACTTGACTCCATTTACCAAGACTCTTTGGGCCCAGCTATCCAGCCAGTTTTTAACCCAACGAAGCGTGCGCCAGTCCAAGTCAAGAGCAGCCAGTTTCTTGAGGAGAATGCTGTGGGAGACGGTGTCAAATGCCTTGCCGAAGTCAAGGTAGACCACGTCCACAGCCTTTCCCTCGTCCACCCAGCATGTCACTTTGTCGTAGAAGGAGATCAGGTTCGTCAAGCAGGACCTGCCTTCCATAAACCCATGCTGACTGGGCCTGATCGCCGGCTTGCCCTGCAAGTGCTGAATGATGAATCTTCCAGAGAATCTGCTCCATGAGCTTTCCTGGCACTGAGCTCTAACTGACAGGCCTGTAGTTTCCCGGGTCAGTCCTCTGGCCCTTCTTGTAGATGGGCGTCACGTTTGCTAGCCGCCTGTCAACTGGGACCTCCCCCGATAGCCAGGACTGTTGATAAATGATGGTAAGCGGCTTGGCCAGCTCCTCTGCCAGTTCTCTCAGTACCCTTGGGGGGATCCCATCCAGCCCCATCGACTTGTGCACATCCAAGTGCTGTACCAGGTCACCAACCAGTTCTTCGTGGATAGTGAGGGCCACATCCTGCTCCCCATCCCCTTCCACCAGCTCAGGGTACTGGGTATCCAGAGAACAACCGGTTTTGCCGCTAAAGACTGAGGCGAAGAAGGCATTAAGCACCTCCGCCTTTTCCTCATCTCTTGTAACTAGGTTTCCCCCCGCATCCAGTAAAGGATGGAGATTCTCCTTAGTCCTCCTTTTTGTGTTGATGTATTTATAAAAACATTCTTTGTTACCTTTAACGGCAGTAGCCAGATTGAGCTCCAGATGAGCTTTGGCCTTTCTAATTTTGTCCCTGCACAGCCGTGCAACATCCTTATAGTCCTCCCTAGTGGCCTGCCCACTTTTCCAAAGATTATAAACCCTCTTTTTTCTCCTAAGCTCAAGCCACAATTCTCTGTTCAGCCAGGCTGGTCTTCTTCCCTGCCAGCTCGTCTTTGGGCATGTGGGGACAGACCGTTCCTGCGCCATTAAGATTTCCCTCTTGAAGAGCGCCCAGCCTTCCTGGACCCCTCTGCCCTTCAGAACCGCCTCCCAAGGGACTCTACCAACCAGTGTCCTTAGCAGCCCAAAGTCAGCCCTCCGGAAGTCCAATACAGCAATTTTACTGGTCCCCTTCCTGGCCTCGCCAAGAATAGAGAACTCCACCATTTCGTGGTCACTCTGCCCAAGACAGCTCCCGACAATCACATCCTCCACCAGTCCTTCTCTGTTTGTGAAGAGAAGGTCTAGCGGGGCACCACCCCTGGTAGGTTCACTAACCAGCTGCGTCAGGAAGCTATCTTCTACGCTCTCCAGAAACCTCCTAGACTGCTTCTCTGGGCTGTGTTGTGCTTCCAGGATATGTCAGGGAAGTTGAAGTCCCCCATGAGAACAAGCGCTGAAGATTTCGCAACTTCTGTCAGCTGCCTGTAGAACTCCTCATCCATCTCCTCATCCTGGTTTGACAGTCTATAACAGACCCCGACCAGGATGCTAGCCTTGTTGTCCCTGCCGATCCTAACCCAAGGGGACTCGACCTTGTCATTCCCAGCCTTGAGCTCTACAACATCAAAAGACTCTCTCATACAGACAGCCACACCACCACCCCTTCTGTGCTGCCTGTCCCTTCTGAAGAGCTTATAGCCAGTCATTGCAGCACTCCAGTCATGAGGCCGGTCCCACCACGTCTCCGTGATGGCAACCAAGTCGTAGCCTGCCCGCCGCACGATGGCTTCCAGCTCCTCCTGTTTGTTACCCATGCTGCATGCATTGGTGTAGATGCACTTCAGCTGGGCCATTGCCTTATCCCCCGGCCTTACTATTGTTCCCTCTGGCACAGCTCCAACAATCCTTGCTTCAGCCCCATCCCCCTTCTTACCTAGTTTAAAGACCTCTCAACAAGCCCTGCCAGCTCCTGGCCCAGGATCCTTTTTCCCCTAAAAGATAGGGACCCGTCTGCGGCCATCAGGCCGGGTGCCGAGTAAAGTGCCCCATGGTCGAAAAACCCAAGATTTCTGTGTTGGCACCAGCCCCTGAGCCACGTGTTTAACAGGTGGGCTTTCCGTGTCCTCTCTGGACCCCTCCCTGCCACTGTAGGGATGGACGAAAACACCACCTGCACTCCTGCTCCATCCACTAACCGTCCCAGCCCCCTAAAGTCTTGTTTGATAGCCTTCAGGCTTCTCTCTTCAATGTCGTCACTACCTGCCTGGACTATCAAAAGAGGATAATAGTCAGAGGGGCGTACCAGGTTGGGAAGCTTCCTAGCAACGTCCCTGACCCTGGCCCCAGGGAGGCAGCAGACTTCCCTACGGGTAGGGTCAGGCCAACAAATAGGGCCCTCTGTTCCCCTAAGGGTAGAGTCTCCCACAACAATAACCCTTCTGTCTTTCTTGGTGGAGGCAGTCCTGAGGCGTGGAGTTGACCTCCTTGCCCTAGACATCCTCCTGGGAACACTTGCTACCTCTTCCTCACCCACCGGTCTCTCGAGCTCCATGGCCTCAAACCTGTTGCGTAAGGGCACCTGGGAAGGTGGGACCGGAAGGGGAGGGCATCGCTTGCGATGTCGAGCAGGGACCTGTTTCCATTCCTCCTCAACTCCCAGATCCCCTCCCTCTGCCCAACGGCAACAGGGCAGGGGTCTGTTAGGAAGCACGGCCGAAAGCACGACAGACACCGGTTGAGTCAGATCATGCTGCTCCATTTTATTGCCCAAATGGCCTAACTTTTATAGTGAACTTAACAGGGGCGGACAGTGTTTCACACAAGATTATCAGTCAAAAGCACTCAGACAAACAACTAGAAGAAAACAACCCCCCTTGTGATTAGCAGTCACGTAGATCTTGTCCTTGAAGTCAGCTGCTGGTAACAATATTTTTCTGAATTCCTCAATTGGGCAATGTGGGAATCATTGTCGTGGGAGCTTCTCATAGTTATTCTGGTAGCTTGGTTTGCTCAGCTACAGCAGGCCATGAGATTTTCTAAGGCCTACTCCTGGTTGCTGAAGGCAAGCTCAGATCAAACAATTGTTCCACGGACTCATGTGCAGGCCCTGTATGCCAATTCCCAACAGGGGTCCACCCCCATTTGGGGTGTCTCACCTCGATACCTCTTCTTGAGACCCTGCAAGGAGTAGCTCCACAAGTCTATCTCCCGCTCACACTCCCTGATATCCCTCAACCTCTCCACCTTGAGCTCCACCACCATGCGGACCAGGTCATCCACCTACTCGCACCTCACGCACGCAGTCTCTCTGCCTCCCGCTGATGGCAGGAACAGGCTCAGACACTCCTTGCATCCGGTGACCTGAACTGCAGCATTTTTTAATGGGCAGTCGGTCTGGGTGTGTACCGACTTCCTGGAGAGCGCACCGTGCCTGGTGGAGACCGTTATCACCTAGCTAACGGCTGTTGTTAAGGAGCTGTTTGTATGGGCGGGGGGAACGCTCTGCCCTTCCTGCTCCCCCTACCTGCGCTAACTGCTGCGCCACAGCCTTCTGACACGCCGTGCCCTGTTTGCCCAGCCATGCCCTGCACCCCACATTTGGGGACCTCGCAGTAGCACGATTCTCAGAGAACCCCTTTCCCCCCCATTATTTTATTCCCAACTCAGGTAGCCATGCCTTTAACAGCAGCTTCAATTTTTCTTCCTTTACTCTCACCGTCTCTGCATGGTCACGCTGGTAGAACCGCAGGGTGGCACGGGCCGTGGTCCCGCTCTGCTCTCTTCCTTTCACAGAAGGACGCTTTCCCCAATACCTCAGACACTGTTTTGTACAGCCTGGGAGGAAGATAGTCTCTCCTCACTGGTGGACCTATTCCAAATCTTTCTCCACAGCCGAGACGCAGGCCAGCAGGGAAGAGGAGAGGCTTTCTTCATACTGCTTTTGACTTACATGTTGTGAAAGCGGCATTTCTTTTAGGAACAGCACAGTCTCGCAACTTCCACTTAGTGAAAGTTATGATAACTCCACCTTTACCTTCCCCATCGGTTTCTACTCACTGCAAGGCATAATCTGAGTGCACATTAGGGCACCTTTTTCCACACTGCCTGTTGTCGAATCCTAACAAATAATTAAGAACATTCTTCAAAGTCAGGCTTACCTGTAAACACTTGAGCTTCTGAGTTGGTGGGGCTTTCTTTTTAGCTTTCATTCTCATTATATTTGGAAGGGCTGGAAAGGGAGCTTAGAAGCCACGGAAGTAATTTCACTGAAAACAGACAAGGTGAAGGAAGTACTCAAACTCCTCGACATTAAAGAACCGTAGGACCCAGGAACACTTACCTGCCAGCTACTGAACTTGAGTCACTTCCACACTGCTTCACAGTGACTTCGCGCCACCAGGGTCTCACCATACTGAGAGGACACCAACAACGTAGCTAGCTCATAGAGTCACTAAAACTGTTTCACAGAGATGGGAGAAAACGTGAAGAAATAGCAGCCCACCCAGGAACACTGAATCTGCTCCACCACAACAGCAGAAAAGCACCCTAGAGAACCTGAGCCTCAACCTCCCCTACCAGGAAGGCAATTCCCCACAAGTCCTCAGGCTTCCTATATATCAAAAGTCAAATGACCCACACCTGGCAGGTTTCACTTCACAAGGGTGGAGCCAAGAGACCTCCTGGAATAGGCTCATCTACCTGGCTTCAGTCTTTTAAGCTTAATTGCTCCTTGTCACTACTAGAAATAACCTGACAAGGGGCTTAGTGGTTAGAGCTGACCTAATGAATTAACTACAAAAAGTGCACAAGGGTCATATTTCTGTTAGTCATTCTGTGAGGACAAGTAGTACAGAGCCTGTTTAAATAAATACATAAATAAACAGACAGACAAACAAAGAAAAGAAAAGACAACAAAGAAAAAAAGAAAATGACCTTAAAGGTAAAATTGCTCTCATAGATTTTCATCTGTCTAGTCATGACAGATAAAGAATATAGCAATCAGAGTTACTTTTCTTGGCATTAATGGTATTTAAATCTGCTTTTCTGAGATGTCTTCTTTATGCAGGACTTTTCAAAATCTGGCCCCGTGACCTCTGACTACACTGTTTACTTCCACTGCGTATAAGCTATCACGTATGAATGCCGGGATCCAGATCATCACTCACTATTCAGGTCAAGGACTGGTCCAAAGGTTTGGGTTTTGATTTGGGTACATGCCTACCTTGCTGTTTCCTGGCAGGTCATGGGAAGAAGATTGGCTGGTTTGGGGGAGCTCCTGTACATGTGGCTTTTAGGCTGCAGCCAAAGTGTTCCTCTAGATCTGGAAGTCTGAAGAGGGTTGCAGCCTCCAAGCTCAGATACAACCACGTTAGTCTGGCGCAACTGATTTTTGTGTTCCTTGCACTGGCTGTGCAAGGAACCTCCTCTCCAGAGGCAAGGACATGCGTCTCTTTCGTGCTTCTTCGTTAGTGTCGCATTAAGGGGTGTAGCTGATTAACCGTTATGGGACCTGTCGGATTCAGGGTACCGAACCTGTCATATACACCAATGACACGTTAACTGTCTGGGGTCCGGTCAGATATTCACCAATAACGTGTTAACCGTCTGGGGTCTGCTTGGATTCAGAACACTGAACTATCACGGTCACAGATTCACTAATAACATATAACCACCCTCACCCTAGTTGCACTTAATGAGAGCTATGACAATGCAATCAAGTGTGGTTTATTACAGCAACAGATAACCAGGTTCTTTGGATTGCCGGCAATAGTGCCTGTCTGCAAAAGCAAGCTAGCATGCATGAAATACACAGGTGTTACAGGTGCGCAGCCTAGAAATTAATGTGTTAAATGGATCAAAGATTCTAGAAAGATTTATAACTGTTATATATGGAGTGGTAATTCGTGTTGAGAAAATGGTTGATATTAATAAAGAAGGGGAACTTTGGGAATGTGGCCATGGGCGTTGGAAAGCCCTGTGGTTGAGATAGCATTAGACTCTTAACGACGAGGCCATCAGGAATATAAAAATGTTTAGAGGGAACAAAGAAGGGTGATTCAGGAGACTCCATGCAGTCTCCGGTTTCTTGTTCTCCAGTTAAGGCATGGATGTTTCTGGGTGTTTGCTGTTGTCGTTACATTCAAAGTTGTTTGAGCAATGAAAAGTTGTTTTGAAAAGAACTGCTGTGGAGAGAAGGGTATAAGAGGAGAGCCTGCCCTCAAAATAAAAAAAAAAGGCAACACGATGAAGTTGCATCAATAAAGAAGCAGGAACAAGAAGTGAAGAGGAACAGGCTGGCAGAATGGAGACCAGGACGGGAACAGGCACTTTGATTGCCTCATGAAGATAGGTTCGGCCAGACTCAGCAAACTGCTCAGAGAAGCTCGTACAGAAAGTCGCTGGAAATAGGCGCACTAGAGCTGGAGAGAAGCGGACCTGTGCACACAACTGCCTCTCGCTGTAAGCAGTTGCGCGTTATGGGGAATCATTCGTCCTTAGGAACAAAGACCGTCCTGGTAACCTTACAGCTTATTCTCCTTATTAACAATTGGACAGTTTATGAGCCTCAAATATGGGACCAAACTGAGGTTAAGGTGTGGGTCTCTGCAACTAAAAATGACAAGGTTGCAGTGGGATTTATCGGCACCTGGTGAGCAGTCTCTGAGGCCTTAAAGAGCCACGTGGAGCCACAATCACAAACGTGTGGCTTGCCAGATAGTGAGGGAGCTGCAGGCCCCTTTACTGATCCGACTGCTACGCCATGGGCCTCTCTGCTGTTACAGCCATCGAAGGCTTTTGCTGTTTCACCCCCTGCTGACCTGAACGTGCCTTTTGACCCAGGCCTATTGGCCTTCGCAAGGAGGTGGCTATGCTTTTCTTCGATCTGGGAAGAACGGGATACATAAGGCCTGAAGACCGAGTTGCTTGACAACTTAAAGCGAGACGCATTGCTCAAAAGGAATGGAAAATGGAGACTGTTAAGGCATGGAACTTAAAGGATTGTTTGTTACCTTTTCTGATCGTGCATATGTATAGGCGTACTCGATTTTTATTAAGTTATGGAACTTAGAGGATTGTTTGCTACCTTTCCTGATTGTACATATGTAGAGGCATACTTGCATTTAGTATGTAAAGCAAAGTTCTGTATATTTAGAACGTTTGATGTTTGTGTGTGAGTGTTGGTGGAGCGTAGACTCCCCGCACACCCAGCGCTGTTTACTTGCCCTTTATGCTTTTTATAGCTTTTATACCTTTTAGAAATGTTTTATAAATATTACAAAATTCAGATTGAGTTGAGACCTCATTTATAACAATAACCAAGTGTTCAAATTTCACCCAAAGGCATTCCAAATGGGTGGGGTGGTGGGGGGAGAGAGAGAGTCTCAGCCCATCGACTGGTCCCAGGAGTCAGGAGGTCGTAAGGATGTTGTATTCCCTCGGGGTGGTATCTCCCCTGATGGTGGTATCTTCCCTAACATCCCCTCTCTCTTAGGCCAATTTATATTATTTTCTCTCTTTTGGGTGGAGTTTGAGTGGCTCTAGTCAAGCATATCTTAGTTATGATTGGTGAAAAGTTCTCCTGTCTCCGTTTAAAGTAATAGGCTCCGAGAAATTCAGAGCGCATGCTCGGTGAGGGGTGGTTGCTAGTAAACAAAGCAGGATAGATTAAAGCCTCCTTCTTCAAGTCAGTAAGATACTGGGCTACAAAGATGGCGAAAGGCCTAGAGGGGAAGTCGTATGAGGAGCGGCTGAGGTCACTGGGCCTGTTCAGCCTGGAAAAGAGGCGGCTGAGGGGAGGCCTCGTCGCAGTCTACAGCTTCCTCGAGAGGGGGAGTGGAGGGGCAGGTACCGATCTAGTCTCTTCAGTCACCACTGATAGGACCCACGGCAATGGTGTCAGCCTGAGGCAGGGGAGGTTTAGGCTAGACATCAGGAAGAGGTTCTTCACGGAGAGGGTGGTCACACACTGCAACAGGCTCCTCAGGGAAGTAGTCGCTGCACTAAGCCTGTCAGCGTTTAAGAAGCATTTGGACTGCACACTTGGTCACGCGGTCTGAATTTTTGGGTACACCTGTGTGGTGCCAGGAGTTGGACTCGATGATCCTTATGGGGCCCTTCCAACTCGGGATATTCTATGATTCTATACCCGCCTTTGGTTTCAGTGAGAATTCAGGCCCTGAAAACAACCGAAGTTTCTTCTGGGTGGTGTTTTTTTTCTAAATAGGGTAACTTCATTTCCCCTTGAAGACTTACGAGGACGTAGTAACAAAAGTTACAAGGGCAGAAAACAGTACCTGAGGCATAGGCTACTTTGCAGCCGGCAGCAGACTATAGGTATGATATTATCATTGCAGACAAATATGATCTATGTAATGTGAAGTGTTCCGGCGTGCTTACGCTCTGCCAAAGGCCAGAAAATGGGACCTTCATTTTCACAGAATCACAGAATTTCTAGGTTGGAAGAGACCTAAAGATCATCGAGTCCAACCTCTAACCTAACACTAACAGTCCCCACTAAACCATATCCCTAAGCTCTACATCTAAACGTCTTTTGAAGACTTCCAGGGATGGTGACTCAGCCACCTCCTGGGCAGCCTGTTCCAATGCCTCACAACCCTTTCAGTAAAGAAGTTCTTCCTAACATCTAACCTAAAACTCCCCTGGCGCAACTTAAGCCCATTCCCCATCGTCCTGTCACCAGGCACATGGGAGAACAGGCCATCCCCCACCTCGCTACAGCCTCCTTTGAGGTATCTGTAGAGAGCAATAAGGTCGTCCCTGAGCCTCCTCTTCTCCAGGCTGACCAAGCCCAGCTCCCTCAGCCGCTCCTCGTAGGACTTGTTCTCCAGGCCCCTCACCAGCTTCGTCGCCCTTCTCTGGACCCGCTCAAGCACCTCAATGTCCTTCTTTGTAGCGAGGGGCCCAAAACTGAACACAGTACTCGAGGCGACTCCGCGCCCCAGCGACTCCTCCGCGCCCCAGCGACTCTCTCCGCGCCCCAGCGACTCCTCCGCGCCCCAGCGACTCCTCCGCGCCCCAGCGACTCCTCCGCGCCCCAGCGACTCCTCCTCCGCGCCCAGCGACTCCTCCGCGCCCCAGCGACTCCTCCGCGCCCAGCGACTCCTCCGCCGCCCCAGCGACTCCTCCGCGCCCCAGCGACTCCTCCGCGCCCCAGCGACTCCTCCGCGCCCCAGCGACTCCTCCGCGCCCAGCGACTCCTCCGCGCCCCAGCGACTCCTCCGCGCCCCAGCGACTCCTCCGCGCCCAGCGACTCCTCCGCGCCCCAGCGACTCCCTCGCGCCCCATCGACTCCTCCGCGCCCCAGCGACTCCTCCGCGCCCCAGCGACTCCTCTCCGCGCCCCAGCGACTCCTCCGCGCCCCAGCGACTCTCCTCCGCGCCCCAGCGACTCCTCCGCGCCCCAGCGACTCCTCCGCGCCCAGCGACTCCTCCGCGCCCCAGCGACTCCTCCGCGCCCCAGCGACTCCTCCGCGCCCCAGCGACTCCTCCGCGCCCCAGCGACTCCTCCGCGCCCCAGCGACTCCTCCGCGCCCCAGCGACTCCTCCGCTCCCCAGCGACTCCTCCGCGCCCCAGCGACTCCTCCGCGCCCCAGCGACTCCTCCGCGCCCCAGCGACTCCTCCGCGCCCCAGCGACTCCTCCGCGCCCCAGCGACTCCTCCGCGCCCCAGCGACTCCTCCGCGCCCCAGCGGACTCCTCCGCGCCCCAGCGACTCCTCCGCGCCCCAGCGACTCCTCCGCGCCCCCAGCGACTCCTCCGCGCCCCAGCGACTCCTCCTCCGCGCCCCAGCGACTCCTCCGCGCCCCAGCGACTCCTCCGCGCCCCAGCGACTCCTCCGCGCC